TTCTTGCCGCGAGGAATCTAAACACAGTGGAACATTAAAACCCTCCGCCGCCAACTAGCGTTTCGGCGCTGTACTGCAGAGCAACGCAGACCTAAACGCAGAAGTATAAATGCTCATGACGCCGTCGCCTACGTGCGTAGCCTACGCCGTACACTACGGCGTACACTCGACGCAGAAGTATAAATTGGCCTTTAAAGGGTACCATGTGCGTCGGCATGTTGACGCATGGTCAAAAGTGTCAGTTAGATGACGCCTTGGGATGAGAATGTGTTGCGATACTGAAGACTGGAGTAATGATGCTGGAAATTCAGCTTTGATCACAGGAATACATTACATTTTAAAATATATTCAAAAAGTTATTTCAAATTTCATAATATTACTGTTTTTTTCTGTATTTTGATCAAAGAAATGCAGCTTTGGTGAGCATAAGAGGCTTCTTTCAGAAACATTAAAAAAAACCTTTTCGCACACTAAAGACTTTTGTACATAGTGTATGATCAGATTAAATCAGAGGTGTCAATACAACATTCCACATCCTAAACAAAACAGACACTCTTGGGTGCAAAGGCCACAGTCAGGATGAAGGATGGCCAACTACATGTCAGCACACCCCACTGACGCCCATTTCTATAATCAGCTCCATTAAGCTCTTTTCTCAATCCAATCTCAAAACACTTGTGCGGCATGTGGGATATTAACAAGAAGATGACATTTCAGATGTTATCACTAAATCACTATTAACGTACTATGCCAGAATCGAGGATCGGCGGGTTTTCAGAAGAGGGATCTGAAGATACTGAAGCTATACCCAATAATAGACACGACACTTCCTTGAAAATAAATTCCAGTGCAGCGCTAACAGCCATAATGAAACGACCCTTCACAACCCATAATGTTTACAATGAACCTCTTAGAGAGCTACATATTGCAACTTATATGTTCAATAAAATACCTTACTCGCCTGCACTGGAAAACATTTATTTGTGCTGCTCGTTCAAATTACTTAATAAAAATGAGCTACAGCAACACAATTGCTATACATTTTGTCCTAACTTAATTTCATTGTGTTCAATCCAATACATTTCAAACAGAAGTGTACTCAATCCATTTGTTTTAGGATTCCGTGAATGATTTTTGTTGCATTGACAGAAAATGGGCGGGGGATTTTTAGTTCCCAGCATGCTTTGCATATGCCAGGATCAGGAGAATAAATGTTGTGTACCTATTAATTGTGTGTTTTTGAGTGAAGGGAAAGCCCTGTTAAAGGGATAGTTCACTTTGAAATTAATTTTTGATATGTTTTAGCTTACCTCAAGGGCATCCAAGATGTAGGTGTCTTTGTTTCCGCAGTAGTTTCAATTTTGATATTTTTAGGTCAAACCGTTCTTGTCTGTCAGTCATATAATGGAGGTCTATGGTCACCACCTCAAAGAGCACGCACAGAGAAGTCCAAATTAAACATGATTTAGCAGTTCCGCATCACAATCCGTACAGCGGCGCTTCCATAACATGAATCCGTACAGTGACCCTTTGAATCAAATGTACAATGAATCACTTCCAGGTCAAATGAAGTTAAATATACCTTTGGAAACTGTGTTTTGTCATCTTTGATCTTCACGCATTGTCGAAGTCCACGCCCTTTGAAGACGACATTTCAGCGGAAAATACAATGACACCCGAGTGATATTTAAAAATGGCGGTGGGCAGGGATCTCGCGTAGACTCCGGTGAAAGAGGGAAAAGAGTCAGCAAATGAAATGAATGAAGTTTTGGTCATGTGGTCTATAGTATTGAAGTTAAACGTAATGGTTATTGGTGTTGAACATTTTTAACCTAAAATGTGTGTTATAAGGTTAATAAAACCCCATTTTAAACGGCGGTTTAAAAACTATGTTCACGAGGTCTTGGAAACGACCTGCGGTGACTGAACGCGCCATTTTTCGTTATGAACAATATTTTGCAGATCAGCGATGTAAGGACTTTAAAGTCAACAAAAGAGTCAAATGTGAAGTAAATTGTGTCATAATGAAATCTACCTACTATAAGACACCCTGCACGATGAGGCAATCATGATGCCTCATCGTACGGTTTCATGTTACGCTCCCAACAATGACTGTACGGAATCTTGTGACGCGTAACATAGTTCCCCACCCAGCACAGCCTCAAGCAAATCACCATTTATGAGCATTTCATAGGCCAAAAATAAACCAATCAAAGCTAAGAAACGAAGATAAGACCCTCCCCCAGTAAATGACACAGCAAAAGTTCATTGGTCTAATCCGGTAAGGATCGCACTGACGTTTTACGTGCCCGGAAGCGAGTTTTCGTGTACGGATTGTGATGCGGAACTGCTAATGACTCGTAAATGTAAGCATACATTAATGGCCTAACGCCGCCTTCACACTGGCAGATGAAATCAGCTCCGTAATACGCAATACGGACCCAACGGACGTCGTACTACACAATGAAAAGCGTCGGAAGCGGGTAGAACAAAAATGGCGGAGAGATTAGAAAGGTTGATTCTGTCAGTTCTGTATGATCTCTCTGATGAGGGTTATAGAGATATTAATAGGAAGGCTGCGGCGTGAGGAAAGTTGCTCAGGACGTTGACATGTCAGGTCGGCTAAAAAATTTGATATAGTGGTATAATTTATACCACTATATCACATTTAGTTCGATGTCTGCCTACAATTTAATTGTATTAACTGCCCTAATAACGTTAGCAAATCATGAAAATAAAAAAATGACATGACAACTTAACTTTTAATAAAATAAATAATGATTTTAAACGATAAGAATTCAGGTTTGTTTATCAGTATCATAGCAACGCTAACTTCCGCTGGAATTGTCGGATAGGAACCGTTCGTAGCTTTTCGCAAGAGTTCAATTTTTTGAACGCATCCGGATGACCAACGGACACGATTTTCTTCGCACCGCACTCGGTCGGACCCGTTTCGGACCCATTCGCATGCGGTCTGCGAATCTCCATAGGAAATGAATGACTTCCGGTCGTTTCGGCGCTGTATCGGAGCTGATTTCAACTGCCAGTGTGAAGGCGGCGTAAGACACGAAACGAGCGGTTTGTGTGAGAAAACGAACAGTATTTATATCGTTTTTACCTCTTGTAACCACAGCCACGTCCAAGTGATCTGAGGGCGCCGGCGCTTCGGTCTGTGCGTTACAAGAGGTAAAAACAATATAAATACTGTTCGTTTTCTCACACAAACCGCTCGTTTCGTGTCTTACGTTCGACATTTAAAAGAATTTGACGTTTTTATGGTTACCGTTGTGCTGAAGAGTAGATCTTATGGTTATGAATGCAATTTCCCGCGAAAAACCATCCCGACAGGTCTAAAATATAAACACTTATAAAGTGAATCAGGGCAAGAAAAAGACACGTTTTGGAAGAAGGATTGATGTATTTAAATTTTGAAAGAAAAAAAAAGTTATATTGTGTACCATTAAATTCAAATGTGATGGTGACAACTGAAGCGACATTTAGAGTCATAATTAAAGATGAAAGTGCAATATCTTTTGCAAAGTACCGTGCTCCATTTTGTTAGATCTTTATTCGGCAATGCATATTCAAAGCAAATTTCAATACAGGGCAAAAGGAATTTCTCCTATGATAAATGTTGTACATCATACATTAAACATTCATTCGTTCATTCAAAAAAAAGTATGTTTTGTTTAAACCAGGGCAGTTTTTTGTGTACTGAAAATAAGGTACAAAATACCATGACAAAACCATTCTACCATTAAGGTATATTTGTGCATCTACTTTTTAGTGTTAAAATGACACAAAGAAACTGATACTGACAAAAAAAAAAAAGATCACGAAATATGTGAAAAATTATACAACTCTTTAAAAGGTAAAGTATGAAACTACTTTTGCTTCCAGTAAAACTGTGTTGAGTCACACTGTAATGAAACATGCCATCAAACAACAGTAGAAGTAACTTTAGACCTCCGTGATGGGAACAGGAAACAGGGGGGAAATACAGGTCTTCAAAACATATTTTGACAAGCACAGAAAGATGCCAAATTGTCAATGAAAGACTATTTTGATGAACAGTCCTCAGCTACAAATCATTTTTGATCAGGCTTTCTTGTGGCCTAATTAAAGTAAGGCCCCACTTAACATGTATAGCTTGCGTGGATATTCTATAGTATATTCCAAGTCATCGAGATTCAGTGGAAAAAGGTAAAAATACATAAATTAACTGGTATAACAGCATCTTATTCCCAAAAGGTAATGAAACATCTTCACGTTTTTGGAACAATGGCACGAGACCGGCGGTTTCTTTTTCGAATCCTTTCTGTGTTAAATATCTAGCGAGACAATATGGTGCATAAAGCAAGACTGCTGGAGAACAATCCAATAATGATGCTTGTTAAGCAAATGAACATCCTTTTAAAGACGACAGGGATCAGTTGCATGGAAAGCATGCACTTTCCCCTATTGATCGGATGACGAGCCAATCACCACCATGGGTTTGACAATAATACTCTGTGTATATACTGTAGTACAGCAGCAATTCAAGAGAGGAACATGCAATGTTATACTAACAGTACTGCTAAAAAAGTGAATGGTTTTTTTTTATTCCACTGTTCGGACAGGACAAGTAAATGCAGATGCTCTTACACGTTATTTGGAACTGAACGCTACGTCACACAAAAATGAGATTTCAAAATGAATTTCCAAAGCTTCAGTAGGACTCTTAGAGTTCAGTCGTGTCCTAAATTCACCCCAGATACTGTAGATTCAACTGTTTGCATCAGGATATATAAGCATAATACACTGACATAATAAAAAACATGAAACATTAGCAGACCCTGACAGTGTCAGTTCACGTCTTGTAGGTGGAGCTGAGCTACTCGCGGCAGAAAAATGCGGGCACCTGCATGAATAAAATGGCAAGATGGGAGTAGTTAAGCAAGTTTCTTCCTCCTCGTGGTGAACATAATCCAAGCAAACAGAAAACCGAAGGTTCAAAGATCAAATAAAAGATGGATGGCGTAACACTGATGTCTCTTAGCTTAGCGTGAGACACGGAGAGCCTTGCGGATACAGGAAAGGTGCTTATGAGAGCAGCAGCACAGACTTGTGGCTGAGAAACAGGGAGGTTTGCGCTGGCCTGGCGCTCTAGTAAAGCAGGATGCGACGTTCGATGGCCTTGCGGCAGATGGGGCACTCGCTCATTCGGTCTCCGCAAAGCTGACAAGTGCCGTGACCGCACATGAAGATCATGTTTTTTAGGCGATCCAGACACACGGGGCACATGGTCTAAGTGGAAGGCAAACATGTTAAATTAGTAATTTTTTTTTTTTTTGGCTGGAAAAAAGTGGAAACGTTGTAACTTTAGATGCCAGTGAAATTTTACAATTGAAATTGAATAAATCAAATGCAAAATAAAACCCTGCATAGTCCTCACTGTGTTAATTGGACTTACAGAAAGCTACAAAAGTTGTTCAGTCAAGAGCAGTGATTCCGTTTTTCTTTTGTTGTTTGATTAACATTAAGAATACAGACAGAATTAGGCTGCTGTCACTTTAAGACCTAACACACGTTTACGCTCACTTAAGACATAGACTGTGGGAATGTGAAAACTTGTCAAAGGCGGATTTTTTACAATTCTGTGCGTATTAGAGCGTGAACGAGCGTGAAGTCTGTTAATTGGCATGTCTAACTAATGTAATGTTCATATATTTAAAAAAACTGAATGATACAGGATTGCGATCATTAAATGTTGGAATTTTAAACCGATTATTGACCGACAAACAATTCACGATTCAAAAGTAGAGTTGTCAAAAGTACCGACTTTGGTACCAAGTCGGTACTGTAATTTTAAAAATGTGTCGATACCAGTGTTTCCCTCTAGCATTTTGAGCGCTGTTGAACGGATTCTTAAACACCTCTGATTGGCCATTGTGTTGACGTGCTTAACATATGTGTCTGTGATTGGCCAATGTGTTCACACGCTCAACATATATGTCTCTGACTGGCCATTGTGTTGATGCGTTCAACATATATGTCTGTGATTGGCCATTGTGCTTTACACAAATACACACGGGAGCGTTTGAAAGCTGCATCTATCAGCGGGTGCGCTGCTTTTAAACGTTCTCATGTGTATCTGTGTAAGCGCTCTGTGGAGAGTGCCAAAGATGTCATTGATGATCATTGTAGCCAATCACAGGCATATATGTTGAGCACGTCAACACAATGGCCAATCACAGACATGTATGTTGAGCACGTCAACACAACTGCCAATCACAGACATGTATGTTGAGCACGTCAGCACAATGGCCAATCACAGACATGTATGTTGAGCACGTCAGCACAATGGCCAATCACAGACATGTATGTTGAGCACGTCAACACAATGGCCAATCACAGACATGTATGTTGAGCACGTCAACACAACGGCCAATCACAGACTGTATGTTGAGCACGTCAACACAACGGCCAATCACAGACTGTATGTTGAGCACGTCAACACAACGGCCAATCACAGACTGTATGTTGAGCACGTCAACACAATGGCCAATCACAGACATGTATGTTGAGCACGTCAGCACAATGGCCAATCACAGACATGTATGTTGAGCACGTCAACACAATGGCCAATCACAGACATGTATGTTGAGCACGTCAACACAACTGCCAATCACAGACATGTATGTTGAGCACGTCAGCACAATGGCCAATCACAGACATGTATGTTGAGCACGTCAGCACAATGGCCAATCACAGACATGTATGTTGAGCACGTCAACACAACGGCCAATCACAGACTGTATGTTGAGCACTTCAACACAACGGCCAATCACAGACTGTATGTTGAGCACGTCAACACAACGGCCAATCACAGACTGTATGTTGAGCACGTCAACACAATGGCCAATCAGAGATGTTTAAGAATCCGTTCAACAGCGCTCAAAATGCTAGAGGGAAATGCTGGTATCGTCACATTTTTAAGATTCCAGAACCGACTTGCTACCGAAGTCAGTACTTTTTGACAACTAAAGATCGGCAGGGTTTGTTCTTGATGCATCAAGGAAACGAGTGAATCGCTTCAAACTGCAACGCTCACCTGCTCTTTGATATCCTGCAGTTGCTGCTGTAACTTCTGCACATCTGCATTGACATTAGTGTTGTCTTTGTCCCTCTGCATGGCTGGGATATTTCCACTGGCTGAAAAGCAAAGCAGGGGCCATTGAGAAAAGTTTCAGCGGCTCAACAGTTAATCATGAAGTTGGTGAAAGTGGACCCCTGGGCCTCTGCATTTGCAGACCGCAGAGTCTTCTAACTAGGCAAATTTTACAGAGGAATAGCTTGATTCTAGAAGTTTTGTGCCTGTTCTAATACTTTACATGGCGTATATGGGGCACTGTGGTGTGAAATCAGCCCATAGCACTGAATCGCAGCAGGCCGCAAGCAGGCTTATGGTCCCACTTGACGGCTACTTTAATTCGTAAAGTGTGGGCCAGTGAGAATGGCGTATGCTGGGGTGGAGATAGGGACTTTGAGCCCAAAGGAGCAGGCAGAAGTTGAGGCAGGAAGAACTTGGGGGTGATTAATAGAATACTTACACCAACTTAGTGCCAGATTGTTGGGCTGGAGAAGATCCTGCGACCCCCCTGCCAATGAGTTAGAGCTCCCTGCTGAGAAGCAACCAGCCACAGTGTTACGTATTGCACGTACCCCTGCTGTTGGCTCAGGGGCCAATTCAGCCTGGCCTGTGGTATACGCTAGTTATAAATATTCATTAGAGGGAGCAAAGGGAAGAGCAAGTTAACGCAAGTATTTGACACATGGGAGGGCTTGTTCATCAAGCTATCCAATTATGGCTGCAGGACTATCCTCCACAGCAATTCTGCAGAAGTGACGAAAATCACTATCATAAAAGAAAGCTTTTAAGTAGGGATGCACTGATATTAAAATTCGGCCTGATAGTCGATAATTACTTCCATGTTAAAAGGATACTACACAAAAATGAAAATGATCTTATTTGCTTACCCTCATGCTATCCCAGATGTATGACGTTCATTACGCAAGATGGATACAAAGATGTTTAGGAAAATAATCCATCTCTGTGAGATCTTATAATGCAAGTGGATGGGACAGCTTTAAAAACACCAATATCGAACATGACCCTAGTGGATGAATCAATGCTTTCTAAAGCAAAAAAAGGTGTATCGGAAAATTCGAATATTTTAAACTTTAAACAATCACTTCCGGCCAAGCTCGCAGGAGAAGTTACGCAAGAAGCGTAGAGGACAGTTGGCCAGAAGCGATGGTTTATGGTTTAAAAAGTTTCAAATATTAATATTAGTATTTTTCTCACGCCCACCTATCATTTTGCTTCAGAAGACATTGATTCAGCCACTGGGATCCTATGGGTTACCATTGTGTTTGTTTTGTATCATTTTTGAAGCGTCAACATTGACGGTCCCATTTACTTGTATTATATGGACTCAAGAGATGGATTATTTTTCTAAAAACCTTTGGGTCACACTTTATATTAGGGGTCTTTAACAACTATGTACTTTATATAAAAAGGTAACACTATTTTACATTGTACTTACTGTATTATATTAAGTTAAGTAACAAACCTTCCCCTTTAGAAAGGTACATGTAGTTAATGAATATTACTCAGTACTTAAATGTATAATTACATTAACAAGGACAAATTAAAATAAAGTGTAACCAAAATGTATTGCAAAACAAATGTGCTGCTATTGAGGTGGGATATGTTAACATTGTAATTATAGATGTAATCACAGATGTAACTGCATGCAGGCATTTTTAAAATATAACAATGTAACAACATGCTTGAAACAACAACATGAATATTGGATAAAATCTTTAGTTACACTATTTTAAGGTGTCATTGTTACATTGTAATTACATTTTTAAGTACAGAGTAATATTAAGCAACTACATGTACTTACATGGGTTTGGGTAGGATTAGGGTTTGGTTGAATGTTATATTATTATTGGTTGTAATTATGCATAATTTACTGTTATTACTATGTAAGAAGGACACTGTAAAATAGTGTTTTTTATTTTATTTTATTTAAATGTTAGTACATGTTAGTAACAAATGTTAGTAGACACTCAATAAAAAGTAGGACCAATCTTTGTGTTCCACAGAAGTCAAATACATCTGGGACTGCAAGAGGGTGAGAGAATAAGATCAAATCATAATCAATAAATGGAAAATTCTACACCAGTGGTTCAATCCTGGTCCTGGGGACCCACCGTTCTGCACAGTTCACATGTCTCTCTTATCTGACACACTCAGTTCATGAAGCTCTCACCTAAAGAGCTGATTATCCGAATCAGGTAAAATACTCATTTAGAGATTTGCTGAAGATTAAGTTATTTTTAAGCGAGAGTTATATGATGGCAAAGGTAATCTAAATGTAAAAATAGGAGGATATTTAAACATTTCTAATAATAGTAATATGGTATCGTGCATCCCTAATTTTAAGGTTTTCATTCAGAGTAAAAACATTTAAAGCAAAGGTTTTAGAGACCATGGGCGTTGAGAGGCCTGAAAGGGAGATTTTTATGATGGATTAGTGTGAAAGAAGACAGACTGGTTAATTTTGAGCCTGACAAGTTGGAAAAAATTAGATGGATATTCGCTAAATGGGAAATTAATGGTGGCATAGTGAGAAACATTTCTTGGCTTCAGGGGTCGGCTAACAACACTGGATCATTTCACAGTCCCCCCACTCTTTCTCTCCAAAAATGATGTAGAATCTGTCCAACAGCATGATTAGTGGATGTTTCCGGCGTTCATATTCAAGTTCCCTTCGGTAGAAATTAAAGTTCTCGGCATGTAATTGGCCACAGCCTTCAGATGCCAGTTTATCGCGGCCACTTTTAGAGCGAGGAGCCTCTTGTATGTGGGGATTGAAGTGCTTTAGTCTTCAAAGTGACTGAAGCAGGAGAGAATCCCATCTATGGTGGCATTTCTCTCTCATTGCTTCGTCTACATGGAGGGGGGGCGGACTGTGTTAGGTCTATATGAGATGCTGCTTCGGTCTTGTGTGTGTGTGTGTGTGTGGAAAAGTGGCGCCTTACAACAAACAGAGCTCAGGCACTAAAGACAGACCAAGATAAGAGCTAAAGGCTACATTCCTCTGCTGACTGGACTGTGTGTGTGTGTGTGTGTGTGTGTGTTTGTGGATCAGCATGTCTGAGGGTCAGCAGAGATGTCAGCGTGGATGAATGTGTTGGACATCTAAGCGAGGCTAAAAAGAAACAGATCCTCCTCTCTATAAATAAACACTAAGAAAAAAAAGTGAACTTACACCAGTATCCCTTTGAACTCAAACTAAACCAACATAAAAAAAAAACATGGGCAGTGTCATGATCACATACAAAGGAATGATGTTGTAACAAATAGTAGTGAATCACAACAAAAAAAAAGAAAAAAAAAAGATGGGACTAAAATAAATCTTGCATAGCCCCTTTGGCGTGTCCAATTATAGAAATATTCTATGCTTTCTGTGAAAAATGAATGCATTTTCAGTCGTCTGCTTGGAGTGGCTTCCTAAAAATCCTTAGAAACTTGCAGCGCATGTTACGAAGACATTCCAGAGCAGTTACGAAGCTCATTCCAGGGTGTTGATATTAAACATTAAGATGAGGGGCTACGCGTCTGATTGGAGTCATGAAAACACATTTGGGAAATAACAGATTAGTCATAACAATGGAGAGAGAGAAATGAGTGGATATAGAAACAGAGAAGCACCAACCCAAGCCAACGTAAATATCAAACATGAGAGACATGAGAACGTAGGAAGAGAGAGAGGAAAGAGAAATAAAAAAACGGGAACGTGTGGAAGTTCACTCACTAAGGTCCTCATCATCAGTGGCATCCTCCATACCTTTCCCTCCACAGCACGAAACGAAGGGAGTGCGGCGCTCCACCACGGCCCGACACTGTACACACTTTTTCATCAGGCTGGCGCAGTCTGCGGGAACACACACAAATGCGCAGACACACACAAAGTGGGTTTGCTTCTTAATCCTATAAAGCCAACTGGATCATTGATAGTTCAATACTTTTAGCATGTAGTAAGTCAGTCAAAAGTGAACAAAACAGCAGTTTATGAGGGCTAAACTGTGGATCAGTTATTATTGCTTTAGCATAAAACCCTTCCAATGACTACTTTCAATTTGCATGAATGCACTTCTTACACAGACACAAATTCCACCAAACTCTATGCACCTACAGGCCAATTCGCACGTTTATGGCGCTTTTCCACTGCTGGTACGGCTCGGTACGGCTCAGTACGGTTCGCTTTTCCACTGCGTGGTACGACTCGGCTCAGCGCGGCACGGCTCGGTTCGCTTTAGCTCGGTTTGCTTTTCCACTGCAGTTAGTACCGTTTCAAAGTGGGTGGGATTATAGCAGTGCCCTAGATTTCTGATTGCTTAAAAAAAAAAAAACTTGGAGGCAAAATATTTTTTAGTGATTATGTGAATTACACTGTGCAAATCAAAGTAATACTACCCAACGGATGAAGAAGACTTGGCTCTCAGTCTCCACAGTAACCTACATGAAATATTCATTTTATTTTATTCGATTTTTCGTGTACGCATTTATGAGGAAAAAACAATGTTATGGACGTGTTCTCCGTTACGGATGTGAGCGCTCTGAAAGCGGCACTAAGATGCTTTAAAACTTTCACAGAGACATCAAACAAAAAGCACAAAACCTTTCTTTAACCTGAATCTTAATTTTAATCAATGTTTCATCAACCAATTGCCTGGATTTGATAAATAAGATGTAAATATAGCAGACGATAGATAGGAAACGGGAGGCGCCGGCGCGTGAACTGGAGCTCGTCACATAAATGAACCGAAACTCAGCATATAAGGTAGCCTACTTGCCTCACATGTCTACTTTTAAACAGAACAATTCAAAACGAAAGAAAACAGACTACAGACTGCTCTCTGCTTATGTAATCCTTATGAAATGTGCATTTCTCTCCGGCACGTTCACTAGGCTACTGAAGATCGCGAGTCAGCATCGTCAACTTTATCTTAGCCGACAAAGAAAACACTTGTTTATTAATAAACAATTAAAATATATCCTTGCTATATTTTACATATTCATAATCATTACTTTTGCCGGTTCTTTGTGAAGAACAGCAGTGGCTGTTACTGGCTATTTAAATCTAGCGGGTTTGATGTCTCGCAAATACAACGACTCTGGTAGTGACGATTCTGTCTGACCAATCAGTGATCTGCAGTGCTTTCACGTCACATTTTAGTATCGGTACGGTACACTTGGAACCTCGATAGAGGTGGTACCATTTAAAGCGAGCCGAAGCGAGCCGTACCATGCAGTGGAAAAGCGCCAAAGCGTGCCGTACCGAACCGTGCTGTACCGTACCATGCAGTGGAAAAGCGCCATTACGTTTACATACGTTTTCAAAAATGTTAAACTTAAGTTCAAAACCTAACATAATACAAAACTGAATAAGACAGCCATTTGCTACATTTCTACAATAATACCATATTAAAAATATATCTAAAAACTGTAAAACTATCAAAGCAATTAGTTATAGCTGAACACCTACACAGATGTTAGCCTTTCAAATTCATTACCATCCATTCGAAAGGGGAAACTTGGGAACATTTGAAACATGTGCAGTGAATTATAAAGAATAGATCATTTTCATAAAGAAAACATTGTATAATGTTCCTGTTGTTAACGTTTTTAGGTTGTTGTTTTATGACGGACAAAGTGTGTTTGTTGGGCGAAAACCTTTGCTAGTGTTCTGGGAGAGTGACTTGATTTGAGACATGAATTAAGTGTTTTGATAGAATTAGTGCATTTTGAATGTGAAATGGAACTGCTGTGCGAAGATGAAAATTGTTTAGGAGAACCGTGTGAAGAGTTTTGAAAAAGTGACCCAAGTATTGAGAAATGTGTCCTAGCGATTTAAAAAAAAAAGAGTTTTCAGTGACATTGTGCTTTAGAGATTGTCAGCCGTAGTGATCATAAGGGAAGGCTCTTCTTTCTGGATTGACAACCCTATTTAAATGCACGATTGAATCAGAAACTACAATCATTGACATTGATAACCAACGGACGAGACAACATTTGATTTGTTTTTGCTCTGGTACCAAAATTAGTACTGAGAACCAAGAAAATGAACTGGTATTGGTATCGACTACTGAAATGTTGGTACTGCGACACTGACAACCCTCTATTCCATTATATGAAAATAACTTTTTATCATAAAACTAAGCATTGAAATATCTTCTTACTAAGAAATTGTATTAGGATACAGATTGAGAACTATGAGAATATTTATATGCATTTTATGAAAGTAGTCTACATCTTGCTATGATTTTACAAGCATATAGCAATTTTGTCTTTTCTGCAATATAAATATTAGCAAATACTTATATTTGCTGGATGAGAGACAAATCACACGGGGTGATGAAAGAAGAGGTGTGGTGTGGGAGGAGAGAGAGAGAGAGAAAGCTGACTTACTCTCACAAGCGCACATGTGACCGCAGGGCTGGAATATTGCATATTTTGGCTCAGTTTGGGCAACTGAATAAAATTGAGCTGTTTCTTTTTTACCTCCTCAGGGTCCATATCTCCTTATTATAGTATATGAGCCATAAAAACTTGATGTATCAAAAATGAAACTCAACAAAAAAACTTTTTTTTTTCTTCTAAAAACGGTTCCATTTCAAAAAATAGATTTCTGGCCATTATTTAATTTTCATGTCAGGCTTTACAAGATTAAGCTACCTTGTTAACCTTCAGAAAGTAAAGTAAATGCCCATTGAACAGAACAGGCTGCAACATTACTGGCAATAACACCAAACTGAAAATGAAGGTCTAGCTGACATGTGATGAATGTATTTAGAGAGAATGAAACTCAAGGGATCAGGTAGGAGAGAAGTAAGCTGAGAGCAGACAATTCACTTAGATTCAACCTAACTTAAAAGCCATTTACATACTGAAAAAGCCTGCTTTAGTATTACGGGTTTTTTTTTGTTGCATTGTGACACTCATAAATGCATTTTGACACCAAGCTGCCATTACTGTAATGCAGACGTTTTACTTAAAAAATAAATACATAACTGAAAATAACTTATTTTTAAGTAATAAAACTGCATTACAATAATGGTAATTTTGGGTTTAAATGCCATAAAATAGTCACATTTAATAAAATGGTCCTAAAATGCTAATTTTCTTCTGATTATGGAGTGAAAAATGACTCCATATTCACCCATAACTTATGTGTGCACACCTAGATGCCTTTATCTGTATCATAGTCATGTTATGTGTGATGTGACGTTCTGACAAGTCAGATGACAGAACGAGCTTTTTTAGCTGGATGAGAGACAAATCACACGGGGTGATGAAAGAAGAGGTGTGGTGTGGGAGGAGAGAGAGAGAGAGAAAGCTGACTTACTCTCACAAGCGCACATGTGACCGCAGGGCTGGAAGAGGACGGCTGCCTTTTTATCAGAGCAAACCACACACTCCTCAATCTGTGGGTGAAGAAAAAGAAAACACATCTGCACTATGGCACATAAGAACACGTGCATGGACAAAAGAAATTAGCGAGGAAGGTTTCTATACCTTGGTTCTAGACTGGACCTGTTCTTTGCAAATGAGACACTTCTTGACACGAGGCGAGCAGAGAGAGCATGTGGCGATATGACCGCAGGGGCCGAAAAGCGTGTCCCTTTTCATATCCGAGCACACCATGCATTCCTCGAGAGTCTCATTATTACTGTTAAGAGACGGGCTGCGGGAGCCAACCTGCCCACTGAGAGCAAGAGAGTAAGTGGGAGAGAGAACAAAATATTGATCGAGATACAAATATATAAAGTGCAGATGGAGAAAAGCCGTTACACATAGCAGGGAAACACATCATGGAGCCAAATTCAACTAAGCTTCAATGGATCCCCTACTGGTTGGGAACAGACGTTCATACCTGGTCTTCTCTTTGTGGCATTTAGCTAGAGCCTTGCAGAGGCTGGGGTCAGGGCACAGGTCCAGAGGAGACTGGCCCTTCTTGTTTCGGATGGTGAGGTCAGCTCCGTTGGCCGCCAAAAAACAAGCGATAGAAGCTGCGCTCTTCTTCTCAGCCCCCTGAGTGCCCAGTCCCATGATCAACTGTGAAGATGCAACCACAGTGTCAAACACTATAGATTAATATAGGTTATCTGTTAGAGAAACTCACAATTACTCATGAAGTTTGAATAATTACACTACGCTTTTAAAATGAGAACAATGCAGAGAACTAGGTACTAAAAACTAGGTGACATGACGTGAATTTGTCCTCTTCATTTAACCCATCCAAGTTAGTGCACACACATTAGGAGCAGTGAACACACACACACCTTCAGGTTTCCAGTCTGATTCTCTTACCATTAGGCCTCCTAATTTACTCTCCGTCATGTCGTTCCAAACCTCTTCTTTTCATCTTCCCTTCATTTTTAATGAAACCTGAGAGATTTATGTTCCTCCATCGCAAGCCCATGCAACCAAAACCTGGAAGCTTCAAAAAGTTACTTGTAGCCATAATCTGTATGAATTGAGTGGTGTAATCCAAGTCTTCTGAAGAAGCATAATCGCTTCATATGATGAACAGATGTAATTTAGATCATTAAACATTGATCAACACACATAGTGGAGCGGCTAAGTGCTTATGTTTGGCAAAATCGTTCAGTTTATGATACAAGCGTGAAAATTGGCATGAGCTGTCTCCATGGGTCACTTGACAAGAAAATTGTCCGAGCCACTTGAAATTTCAACATAAAATTTCAAGATGGCAGCAATTTTTCAGGATTACTGCCGCCCGCCATGTGGATCTTTAAATGATACATTTTCTCATAGATACTTTCTGTTTGTCATGGTTCCATGGCTGTGTCAGGCAGAGTCGCTGTTGCCTCTGGATCTGTTCCTATTGACATTCAGTATTAGTCATTGCTCAATTTTTTGTTTGGTGCACTGTCCGTTCAGCACCACAACTGTGCTAATTTATTAGGGCCCAAGCCCAAAGGGCGAAGGCCCTATTGTTTTCCTTAGGATTATTTATTATTATTATTAGGGCCCAAGCCCAAAGGGCGAAGGCCCTATTGTTTTCCTTAGGATTATTTATTATTATTATTATTATTATTATTATTTTTCTGCTACCTTTTGGACACTTTTGGAGGCCTTAACATGCTCAAAAACTCCTGAAACTTTGCACACATGTCAGAACCCGCGGCCATCAGGGCCGGGCTGAAGCTGGTACCCGGGCGTGGCAGGGGGGCTCGACAGCGCCCCCTGGAACGGGGTCCGAAAACATGGTCCATAAATCAAACACGCTTGCATGTAATAATATGAAACTCGGTACACATGTAGATCTCCTCGTTTCATATATACTTCACACTCTTACTTTTTACCCCAGCCCAACAGGAAGTCGGCTATTTAGGGTTGTTGGTAAAACACACGCAATGGAATGTGAAATACTCCTCCTAGAGAATTCAAACAAACGGCACGAAACTCGGTCAGCATGAAGTCAAGACATTGAGGATGAAAGTTTGCGAGGGGATTTTTGATATCTCGAACGGTTTGGCCGTGGCGAGGAAACAAAATTATGGCGAGAAACGTGAAACAGGAAGTGTGTCATAACTACTGCATACATTAACTGATCTTGATGAAACTTCAACAGTGTGTTCGTTGTAAGAGCCCGATCACATGGATGTGACTATTGTGAGTCAAAGTTATAGCGCCACCAACTGGCAGCAGGAAGTGTGTCACTTCCTAAATGCTTTGAAATCACCCTCTTATTTTTACCCGATTTGCTTCAAACTTTATGTGTATAATGTAAACACACGGCAGATGTAGACCTGTGAAAGGATTATTGATATCTTAGATACTGTTGACGTGGCAACACATCAAACTTTAATATTCTTGTTTGATGCTTTTGAGACTCTTAGCATGCTTGAAATTGCATGAAACTCGACAGACACAGGTATGCATATGGTTCAGATCAAGCCGGACAACTTTCTAATTAACTGTCATTAGCTCAGACCAAGAGGAAGTTAGATATTTTGGTTTGAATGTGGATGTTTCTGAGAATTTTCTCTCCCTCTCCCTCTGACAGAGAGAATGCACCCTGCCATTCGTGTGTGTCTGTGTCTGTGTGGGGAGGGGGGGAGTGGCTCTTTTAGTTTAAACACAAAATTATACATAGGGCCATACTGCCCTCTTGTGTCCAAAATTATATTTATATATACATTATACATATATTTGGTATGTGACTGAGGACCGAGAGCTTTTAAATACGGGACATTGATAATGGCCACGTGCAGAGCGCTCGAGGGAATTCCTATGGAAGTAGGAATGAACTAAAAAACGTTCGCTCTGTTCTGCTCGCTCGTCGCAGTGGACGCGCACCATTATGAATGCCAGTGCAGCCGCATACTTTTTAGTGTCACTTTAAAATTAGTGCAATAACGGGGCCGATTGCTTGAATTGTGAGTTCAATAGTCTATTATTTTTCACGGAAAACACAACAACAAAAGAGTACAATGATAGATTCGCTTAAATAGGGGCTTTTACATAAAATAGCCTATTCCGTCATCATCTTTTCAGTCAGCTCTTCACTCTCGTGATTAATGAAATTTGACTCCTGTTGCTGATATTTGCTGCAACTTTCGTTCCGCTCACAATTTAGTAAGCAAACACGCTTCAAATGTGTTTTTATTTTATTTTTGTGTATATATATGTGTGTGTATATATATGTGTGTATATATATATATATATATATATATAGCTTATGTTTCAAATATGAGTTAATTAACAATCGTTGGAAAGAATGATACTTTTAATATCACTAAACCGTCATTAGGTGTCGCCAGGCGACCGTCTTAATGAGCGAGTCATTGATTCATTCGTTCAAACGATTCGTTCGAACGGCTGAGTCATTCATGAATGAGACAGATTATGGATTGGTCGTTGAATCTTTGAGTCAACCGATTTGTTCAAAATGCTGAATCATTCAGTAATGAGAACGCGTTGCTGTGAGATGCTCGATGGTTCTGCTGTGATCTTTGTTTAACTATTTTCGCTGCTGAAACAGAAAAAAAAAGTCAATATTGCATCTAAAATGTAAGTGATTTGACGTGTGTGTGTGTGTGTGTGTGATTGTGTCTGTTACAGTGATTGTTTAACCCTTGTTAAAGTTTAGGCCTTGTCTTTTTGGATATATATCTTTTTATATAAAAAAAATAGCATACAACCCATGTATTTTAAATGTATTGTTTGCTTTAAATTACATTGAGATTTGTATGTTTGGTAATTGAACCTGAATGAATTATAAATGAATGTGCTATATTTCAGATCATATATTTGTTTTCCTTAAAATTTGAACTAACACTAACTTTATTCTCATCTGAATGATAGATTATTTATTTCTGTATAAAATAAAAACACATTTGATTTTTCTTTTTTAATCAATGTAGAATGTGTAACTGAAAAAATAAACAGATTAGGGCTCTGATCGAGGACAATAATGTCAAAAAAAGAATCAGGGCATGTCTCATATCTTTCTAAAATGTAATTATACACCATTTATTTTTATATAAAATTATACAAATATTAGAACTAAACCCATTTTATTCCTTTTTTTCAATTTAAGAATTATTTTTAAGTTTAAAAACAGCCAGAATGGTTGTTTAGTCAAAAATAATAATAATCCAAATCATATATAGTGCTATACTGCCCTCTTGTGTTCAAAATCAGGTAGGCCTATTGAATTTATATATTTATATATTAGGGATGTTACTATGGGAATATTTTCCCACCGGTTAATCAACGTGTGATTGTGTAAACCAATTGTGTAAACCTCCCGCTGGGGGGTTTAAAAACACTAACTTGAAAGCGAAAGTATAATATGGACGTCCGCACGGACATTGAAATGGTGGCGCTCGAATGAATTCCTATGGAAGTAGAAATTAACTAAACGTTCGCTCTGTTCTGCTCGCTCGTCGCCATGGACGCGCACCGTTATGAATGCCAGTGCAGCCGCATACTTTTTAGTGTCACTAAAATTAGTGCAATTTCGGGGGCCGATTGCTTGAATTGTGAGTTCAATAGTCTATTATTTTTCACGGAAAACACAACAATAAAAGAGTACAATGACAGATTCGCTTAAATAGGCGTTTTTACATAAAATAGCCTATTCCGTCATCATCTTTTCAGTCAGCTCTTCACTCTCGTGATTAATGAAATTTGACTCCTGTTGCTGATATTTGCTGCAACTTTCGTTCAGCTCACAATTTAGTAAGCAAACACGTTTCAAATGTGTTTTTATTTTATTTTTGTGTATGTGTGTGTATATGTATGTATATATATAAATATAGCTTATGTTTCAAATATGAGTTAATTAACAATCGTTGGAAAGAATGATACTTTTAAACATAACACTAAACCGTCATTAGGTGTCGCCAGGCGACCGTCTTAATGAGCGAGTCATTGATTCATTCGTTTGAACGACTGAGTCATTCATGAATGAGATAGATGTTTATGGATTGATTGGTCATTGAATCTTTGAGTCAACCGATTCGTTCAAAATGCTGAATCATTCAGTAATGAGAACGCGTTGCTGTGAGATGCGCGATGGTTCTGCTGTGATCTTTGTTTAACTATTTTCGCTGCTGAAACAGAAAAAAAGTCAATATTGCATGTAAAATGTAAGTGATTTGACTTGTGTGTGTGTGTGTGTGTGTGATTGTGTGTGTGATTGTGTCTGTTACAGTGATAAGAGTTTAACCCTTGTTAAACTTTAGGCCTTGTCTTTTTGGATATATATCTTTTTATATTAAAAAATAGTCATACAACCCATATATTTTAAATGTATTGTTTGCTTTAAATTACATTAAGATTGTATGTTTGGTAATTGAACCTGAATGAATTTTAAATGAATGTGCTATATTTCAGATCATATATTTGTTTTCCTTAAAATTTGAACTAACACTAACTTTATTCTCATCTGAATGATAGATTATTTATTTCTGTATAAAATAAAAACACATTTGATTTTTCTTTTTTAATCAATGTAGAATGTGTAACTGAAAAAATAAACAGATTAGGGCTCTGTTTGATGACAAGAAATGAAAACCAAT